TGAAGGTCACGGCCTAACCGGTGATGACTCAGAATTCTATGTTGACTACATAGTTAGATTGAGATTCACCAGGCCAGATCATTAATATCAATAATTTACCATCATTTATTGTCTGTCATGGTAGCCATAGGAACATAATGACATATCGGTAACATAAAGATAATCCTTCACCAGTACCCTGGTATATTTAGGACAGATTAATCTTTGAATGGCTTGACTATGGAATCTTCTAACCTGCACATACTGTAAAATACTTTATTTTTGCTTGGATTTAATTTTCGTTATTTTTGCAGAAAGACTGATTCAGTGAAAATAAAATCCAGCGAATATACCTTTTTTCCTATAATTTACATTCAACTCATCAAAAATGAGTGAAAATAAATTCCATACAAAACACCTAAAAAGTATTTTCAGCGAAAATTAATTCCAGCTAAAATAAAGTATTCTACGATATTACTAAAGTTATGCGGCCTGTAGAAACCCGACAAACCAAATAATGTACAGCAGGGCAAATAAAAACAATTTCAAATAAATTTATTGCATACACATAAATTATGTTATTAATGTAAATTGTACCAGTGGTGCAGAAAATAACATGTTTCTTTTTTTTAGGTTAAATGTCGAGCTGAAGCTGGTGAAATCATGTTTGGAACAATTGACACATGGCTGGTATGGAAATTAACCGGGGGTGAGTGCAGCTGCGTAAGATTTCATTTTACTCTTACTGTTTAGTCTTTGTCAGTTTATGAAGATCTATGACAGTAATGTTATATTACTATGAGGTTATGGCAATAATAACGCAAAGTATGTCCAAAGAATACAGGGAGATTATCCACTGACATGCAGCTGAGGTGTCCGTGTGATGAGTGCATATATATTGTTGTATCCTCCCAAAAACCTGACTATTATACATTTTCTGGATCCAGCTGTGCAAGATAGTGAACATTTTTTAACTGCTATGAACTTTTTCTGTCATTTTGGAAATCTTATGTTATCATTCCATATTTGGAATTTGCATTTCCTAATATTTAAATACAGATGCAGATACCCTGTGCAATACTGCAATATTACGACAGGCTGTAACTTATAGGGGTACAGTGAAAGATGTATAATAATATTAAATTCTTTTTTTATGCAAAATAATCCCAGGTTGTACAAAAAATCATCAAAAAGTCCAGAATGCTTGCCTGGCACAGTAATTTTAATTTTTAAATTAAATTTAATTGAAGTACATTAGTTGCAGTGTGTGAGATGAAATTAAAACTGAATACTAGTTTGCTAATTTTATATCCAGTTAGATTCTACCATTTATTTCATCACCCCAATAATCAGTATGTAAAAGTTTTTTTGTTTTTTTTTATAAATCAATGTAGGGAAAAAACATGTGACTGATTATTCCAACGGTTGCTCTACTGGAATGTTTGATCCTTATGTGGTAAGTAACGTATATTTCTAGAGAGAATTACTAGACAGTTTCTACACTTATGACTGATATTTGTCACTGTTTTGTGTTTTAGGGAATGGAAACTATGAGCTTAAATTCCCCAAAACTTGACCATGGCCGGCTGACCATGCCTTGACCATGCCTGTTACCAGCCCTTTGAACGTACAAGAAGCGGATCTCCAATAAACCAAAAATTGCATTTGATTTATACTGAATCATAAAAATATTTTTAGAAAGACCTCTGTAATTTATTTACTTTGGAATATTAGTGTACTTCTGAATAATGTATTGCGGGGTAGAGCTGACCATAAAAACTCAAATTATGATTTTTATACATTAATGTTTGGTTTTTTATTTCAGATGAGTTGGAATTGGATTTATTTCACGTTACTGGGTTTGCCTATGACAATTTTACCAAAGCTCCAAGACACGTGGTAAGTTCTAACTCTCTATAAAGCAGACTAATGGCTAAGTACGTAAGACTCTGTTTTGATAAGCTTTTTTTTTGTTACCCCAAACTATGTAATTTTCAATGCTAGACATTTTCTTGATTTCATATTTTCGTGGCATTCAGGAGGAATTTTTACTACTGGTACTACAAATTTTGATATTTCTTATTGTATTGCAAAATTCATGAATGTTTATATACTGACTTTAGGCATTATTCATGAAAACAATTTGTAGGTATAGATTGTAGAACATGATTGCACGTCTATGCAGATTTGTACCAACAATGAAACATTTTCCATTCATTGCGAGATTCTGCGTTATGCTTAGAATCGAACAAAGATCATAGTGATGTCAAAATTGCATGGGAATCAACAAGCAAAAGTATTCAAAGAAAAGTTAAATTCAAAATCAAATCTTTTGATCTTTGTGGCCGATGTTCGGTCCGCACCTTTCACGCAATATGCACAGGGAACAGAAAATCGCCGTTTCACAACTTTACGACACAGCATGTTGATAAGTGCATAACAGAGAAAATGTGAGAGAATCTGGTAATACTGGTGTTTTGATTTCAAAATTTGTTAATG